TGACATTTCGGAAGCAGCGGGAGACCATTACCCGGTGACAATGTTCTATTCCACTGACATTATCTCTTAATTATAATATGCAAGTAATGCCGAAAAAAATGGCCCATAAATAGCTCATTTGGAGTCGCTGCGCTCTGCCCTGCCGGGGAAACACTGAACGATTTCATTCAGTGCTTGCAAATGAGGGGAGACAAATGGATATCTGGGGGCCCTGGGTGTCCTGCCTCTTCAATGACAAAGCTGCCACAGTGGCAGGGAGGTGGCAGGACGACAGGGCGCCAGCGGACTCCCCCCGGCCCCCCACTTCTCTCACCACCCGCACCCAAAATCAGAAGGCGTGACACCCCCATCCCAGGGCCCCAGTGAAGAGCCCACAGCTACAGGCCTGCAGGAATGCTTACTGCTCAGAGCAGAGGGGGCAGGCAGTGACATTTTTCTCTTTCAGGAAATTAATTCTGCTCAGGGCAGGGAGATGGAGCGAAGGGTTGCAGCCTTCTGGAGGAAACCCCATTTTTTTCAACTTCCCCGGTGCGTAAAGAACCAGCCATGGCCACTGATCAGTAGGAACAGGGCCGGGAGGCATGCCCCTGGACAGGGCAAGCAGAGGCCTTGGGATAGAACCAGCCCCAGAAAGCAATGCGGATGCCCCTGTAGAGCTGATGGCCGAAGGAAAGAGCCTCTAGAGACCAAGGCACCCTCAGGGCAGGCTGCCGGGCACCACTGAGGGCTCCCTCAGCCCACCCAGCCAGAAGGGAGGGGGCGTGGGGGTCACCTCCGGGGTGGAGGCTAAGCAGGGAAGGAGGGGCCAGCACTGGAGGGGTGCAGTCTGGTGAGTGACCAGCGTGGCCTGCAAAGAGCTCAGACGAGCACAAGAATGGTGGGAGCTTCCGACCTGCGTCCTGAGGACTAGAGTAGGGTGGACCCCGAGGCTCAGCTGCTCACTGGCTGCCAGAGTGGCCCATGACAAGAGGCTCCGCCTCCCGGTGCCTTAACCTCAGGGAGCGAACACACAGGAGATCTCGACCAGGGCTGAGAGGGCAGACAGGTTCTGGCAGCAGGCCTCAGGCGCCGGGTGTGGGTGAGCCTCTGGGTTTGTTCTCTGACAGCTCCGAGGCCAGCAGCAAAATCAAGATGCTTTGCCCCAGAGGCTCCAGGGGAGAAGCTGTTTCTCCTCTTTTCCAGCTTCCAGTGATGTCCCATGGCCCGGAGCTGCTGGCCCTTCCTCCGTGCTCACCCTCTGCTCCATCCTCACCTCTCCCCTGCTCCCCTGCCTCGGGCCCTCCTGCCTCCCTCCTGCAAGCTCCCCAGGGGCCACATTGGGTCCCCATGACCCAGGACCTCAGGATTCGTTACTGTGTCCCGCCTGCCAGGCCGTCCTCTCCCGCAGGGACACTGTGTCAGGCCTGGGGACTCGGACGAAGGTGTCTCCAGCAGGGCCATACAGGTCCCCACCATTCTCTCCTTGTCCCCTCCATCCGGTCTGCTGCCCACCAGCAATGCTTTCTCCTCCATAAAACTCCGAGCCCCATTTGCTTGCTGTCAAGGGGGAGAGGGTAGGAATGAGGCACTCAGGCTGAGTTGAGGGGGGCCTGGCACCTCATTGGGGTGCCCTAGCACAGGCCACAACCAGGGTGGCAGCCTGCAGCTCTTGGCTCAGGCTCTGGGCCAGGTCCCCAGCTCCAGGGCTGTGGGGCAGGAGTAGAAGCCATACCCCTTCCCAGGGTGGGACCCC